ATTTTCTGTACAGAAAATTGTCTATTTTACTTCCACTTTAAACTTTATTCCCATGGGAAACACACTGATGAGCTTAGCTGAATTGATAATGGCTCTTATTGCATAATTAGAAAACCAGAAAAATTGTGGTAGTTATAGGACATTGTATGATTTTTGTATGTTATTAATCTATGTTCTTTGGTGCATTATTTAATTAGATAAATAAAATTTTAATGCAGTTACCATTAGTATAAAAAAAAGAAGTAGGGTTAAGTTTCATCAACAGTCAGCCACACACACAAACAAAAAAAAGAAACAGGTAAGTACTTTATTTCATGTGTATTCTTAATTTTGTCTTAGCAGCAGTGGAAACATTATCTGCATTACTGAGGTGATGGTGTCTTGTAATGTTTTTGAAGTATATTTTCTCTGAAACTTTCATTTCCAGACTACCATGTTCCTTCAGAGTACTTGATTAATCAAAACATCCGAGATAAGTTGGCACCTGTTAAGCTCAATCGATATGGGGAAGACCTATTGTTTTTTCTCTTCTACACGTTTAGTGGAGATATTCTGCAATTATCAGCAGCTGCAGAACTGTAAGTTCTTTTACACTTAAGAAGAAAGAAAAATTTGTTCCAAGTTAATTCAAAATCTTTGGAATGATAGAATACAAAATTTGATAGTTTTAAAAAGTATTTATATTCAGAAATGTGTCAAACCCACCTAGCTATTAGAATCACTTGTTTATAAGTTAAGTACAAAATTTGTGTATACAAATTTATTTATTTTTTCTGTTATACTTTGCATTGGTCAAACTAAAAATGCATCTTTTATCATTAGAAATACAGTTTTGAAATATTTTACAGCAATTATGTAACTGTATAACTTACAACCATTGATAAATGGAGATAGAAGTAGAAAGAGCATAAGATGTACACATAAAACCCATCACTTTCATGCTGGCAGAGAAAGTTTATTTATGGAATCGTGATTCCATTGTGCATTATATACAGTGTGTGTGTTCATCAGTTGTTTTATAAGTATTTGCAAGGGTTTCTGCGTGCATTAGTAGATACAAAAGTAGGCCCAGTATAACTCAAGCGTGCTTGTACATATGGTGTTTTAATATAATGTTTCAAAACTGATATTTAATGTTTATTTTACACTACTTTAAGTTGTGTTGCAATATTTTCAAATGACAGTCGTACAGTTTCATACCTTACAAGAATTAAACCTTGAAGGTACATCAACTGGAAGTCAGTGAAGGAGATGCATCAGCTTTATTAATGTACTAATAAAAACTATTACTAATTTTAGTAACAACGAAACACTTGACTGTGCTTCATGAGATGTACATAATTAATTATGGTAAATTTATAAAGCACTTGTAATTAAAATATTTTATCAAAATTAACTTAAATGATAGTATCAAAATTTCGAAGTATGGGGCTTATGAATGTCTGTAGCTTCATAATCAAAAACCTAGCTGTTTTAACAGAAGCGACTGGATAGTTTTTCTCATTTTCTAAATTACTTGAATTTCACAAGCTTTTTATGACAGCTTAAAATCATCACCATTTCATCCCCTCCAATGAAAATGAATAATTTGAGAATTAATGACAGACATTACACATGCTTAACAAAATCACTACTCCTTTTATACCTGCTAATGAAGCAAAGTGTTGAACATTTTCTAAAGATGTACTCAATATTTTACTGTTATTTTCAATAATGAATTGTGAATAATACTGTACAGAAGACTTTGAAGAGGGAAAATTTATGTGGCACTGTTAATAATAGAATTGGTTGAAGTAAAAACTAAAACATACTAAAAGTGAAGTTAAGTATTTTGGGGTATGTTTTTATGAGATAGATGATGGTCAAGTACAGCTCATACTGACAACCGTGATATTAATGTTACAACAACATGCACATTAGTACAAACTGGTCTCACTGGACTTGTAACTGCTCAATAAAACTTTTGGTTGAAATGAGCATTGGACCACAAACAGTAGATTGAGTAAAACTGGAAGGATATTCACTTTACAAATGAATATACTTTAAACTGTTTAGCAATAATAAATGGGTAAGAGAAGAAAAGTACAATAGTTAATGTACAACATGTACAGTGAAGCATGGTGGAAGGATCAGTACAGGTTTGAGTCTGCATCTTAGACAACTGTGTCAGTGATTTTTACAAAATGGATGGCACCTTGACTGCTCACAAGTGCGTCAGGTTCTGATTCATCATGCCATTCCTTCAGGAACACATGTCAAATTAGTGGGCAGGAATTCATCTACCAGCAAGACAACGATCCCAAACATACAGCAAAAGTGGTAAAACATTATTTTGATGGTAAAAAGGCTGGTGGAACGCTCACAATCATAGCTTGGTTTGCACAGTCCCAAAATAATCATTCTTGAAGCTGTATGGGCTTATGTAAAATCTGATAAAGTGAAAAGGTGATCAAACGACTTGGCTGAATTGTAGGGAGTAGTGAAAGATACTTGAAACAACATTTTACAATTAGACATTGATAAACTGTTTGACAGCATGATGAAAAGATGTAATGAATTGTGTAAAACAAATGGCTCACATATTTATTACTAATACATAGTACAACTTATACAATGTATTTGTATTTTCTCTAGTAATATTTTGTACCAATTCAAAATTCACCATTACTTATTTGTGGCTCATGTAATGTGTATCACTTGCATGTTTCTGTAATTTCCATTACTATATATATATTTTATACTAAATATCATTTACGTTAGTTTACCTAAACTATTAATGATGGTATTTATTCATGTAATTTCCACCAATCAGATATAGTAGGGACTGGAGGTTTCACAAGGACGAGAGAGTATGGATCACTCGAGCACCAGGTATGGGGCCTACAGAGAAAACAAGTACATTTGAACGAGGAACATACTATTTTTTTGATGCTGTAAACTGGAGGAAAGTAGCTAAAGAGTTTCATTTAGAGTACGACAGACTTGAAGAACGGCCGCACATTCCACAAGCGTTTCCATACAACCCCTTCCAAGCAATGATGTCATAGTCACATGTTGAACCATTTATTTTGGTCATCTCGTTACTTGTAATATAGTAGTTTTTGAAGTGTGAGGGCACACTGCTGCGATACCTATACTGAAAGTTTTCAGTATCTGAAATGTTATAAGAGCTAAAACAATTTTGTTTCCAGATGTTCTCTTTCCTTCCTATTTTTAAAAGAAAGGCACTAAAGTAACTTTATAATGGCCAAAAAAATGACTTTTATTAGTTCAGCAAGATCAAGTTTATTTTCTTCATTCTGTATAATTGTATTATTTTGTGTTCTGTAAGGTGTTTTGAATGATTGAAGTTAGTGTAATATCCCAGAAAGAATGAGAGATATAATATTAAACATATATTATTTTGATTTCATGTGTTGGTCTCTTGATACTGACAGCATTAGTTGCAAACAATTTGTGTTGGTCTATGAGAGAAAATCTGTGGGTTATCATAGGAATTTCAAATGAAAGTTTTATTACTTTTGTATGTGAAAATTTCTATGTGAAGTATGCAATTGTAGGAATGGTGGAAGCAAAATTAATAGATCCATTAAATAGTAACTGCTTCAAACTAAAAAACAACAACCAATAATCTGAAAATATTGTTTCTTGAAAAAAGAATCTTGCAATAAAATATTTTTTGTAAGTTTAGCAGAAATGTAGACATTGTAAATTAACATGAAATTACATTAACAAACCTAGTACAATGTATTAGGAGCCCATTTATACAAACTGCCATAACTGCAAATGTACAACGTTACTGTTTAAGAAACTTTTAAACATAAGTAATAAGAAATTACAATTAACATCTTTTCTATTTATAAATTGTATCCTTAGCCACATCTTGTACATCCACATATATATATTTGTTTCAATGTTCTTTTTTTTTTATGTAAAGGTAATAAAGTTATTTTCTCATGGAAGACTGTTGTCATTGCTTACTTCCTTGAGGAAAGGTTGTTAGTCATTCTCTATGTTTAAAACCGTTTTATTCCAAAAGTATTTGGTTCTGTTGTAAGAAGTGTTATCAGGCCTAGGTGACTCCAAACAATGCAGCCAAATTCTTTTGGAATGAATACAGCTATTTAAATATGGAATATTTGTGTGCAACTTTTTTTAACTGTCTGTTAATTCGTGTTACGAACCTTAATGTATTGAGGAAAGGTTTCTCAATGTTGCTTAAAAATAATTGAAACTTGTATTGTTAGCAAGACTAGAAAGAAATAGAAGTTTTCAAATACGTATTTTATTGAAGGTTTATTAAATGGCCCGATTCATAATATAATATCCATGGTTATCCCATAGGTTGTGAAATGCTCAGGTGCTTCTAGACTTTAGTTAGTGACATAAAATACTTTGCACAATTTATAGGCAAGAAGTTTGGAAATAAAATCAGTAATATTTTCTGAATGACTTCTACACACACACACACACACATATTTTTTATGAAAATGGTAATTATAAAATCACTATATTAAAACAATTCTGATTGTTTATAAGTAGACTAGAAAAACCAATGAATCATTAACAATATACTACAAAAATGGCTTAATTTTTTCTACTAGTTTGAAAATAGCTTTAATTTAATAATCTTCCCAATATTTTAGTTCTATTGAAAATCAAAAATAATCATAATGTGACATTAGAAAGAGTCAACAGTACATAAACCTAAAAAAAATCAGTACCATATTATTGGTACTGACTCGTTTAACGGATTGAGAAATTGGATATCGATGTTTCAACTGTAGAAAATTACTGAACACATTCTAAATTACTTTTAAGTTAGGTAAAAGCTGCATCTGTATTCTACAAATAATACTTGGTCTGTAATTAGTGATTATCAATTAATAGCACAAACTTACTAGTTTGTAAAAAGATATTCACTGGAAAATTCATTGAAAACTTCATTGTTTTTATGTATATATTGCTTCATTCTCCTACCTTGAAACTATTTGTGGTGGAGTCTTGCCCATTTACAGAATGTTGTTTCAGGGAGTAACTTATATATTGTTTTTATTATAATGATTTAATTTGTGTAAGTTTAAAAAAAAAAGCTACATTTTCATCAGATAATATTAAATGTATTTTATGACTATTCAAGTTTTATGAGGCTCAGACCTTCTTAAGGTCATTTAACTTTCACAATCATTGAGACACCACCAGATTCATTCAGAACTTTATGCTTGTAACCTCCTATATGAATACTCTACGTATGTCAATCAACCATTTTAATTACAGCACTGCTGTTACATTTTATAAACTTTGTACATTCAAATACAAACTATTACAACCAAAAAGATCTTTTATATACAAAGCACAAGATCCCCCCCCCCCCCACTACATAATTATTGCAGTACAGCTGCATAGGGTGATGTAGGTAAAGTATTAGAATATGTGCAGAAGAGTATTAGGCTACAATGAGCTTTCGAAACAGCACTAATTAGATTTTGCACTGAAATAGTATGGTGCTGAGAAGTTTCAATGGGAATAATTCATGATTCCTCAATAAAAGCTGCTTCTAATTCATCAGTAATGTAAAGACATATTTCAAAAAATCATCATGATAAAGACTAAGTAGATCAAGCAAATGACCAGGCTAGGTAGGGTAAATGAGTACAGACTTCCTTATGTTTAACAAACTAAATCAGTCTGCAACAGCTCATACAGTTTGGATAAGTGCATTGCTATTACCAGTGGAACAAGTGCTGTATCAAAATGAATTTGGTCTTTTAGGATTTTCATATTTATTGACCTAGTTGTTATTATTGTTGATAGAGACAGGTAATAGTAAAAACAAAATATGGGCGAGTCTTTTCTGAATATCCAAGAGAAATGGGTAATAATTGATTTTAAGTAATTCCAGAATTTAAAAATGCTAATTCAGTTGGTATAAATGGTATAACTAGTGTATCACATAGCTTCTATGTAATCCAGAGCAAGTAAGATTACATACAACTTTTCAATGAACACACTATAAAAGGAATCCTGCAGCAAACCATGGCTAAGCCCACAGAGTTGCATGACTTTGAGTTATCTGTACAAATCAGAACAGAAGGAAAAACAATCTCCAAGTTTTGGCAACACCCTGCAAGTTAGCTACTGGGTTTGCTAGATGGAAAGGGACAATACCCATAGATCTTTCAAATTTTGTCCCAAAAGACCTTGTAATTGCTGATGGAAGAGATGCTGGAAGTGAATTTAATCCAATATTCCTTCTGACTTTGATATCTTGGCACAAGCCTTCTGAAAGACTGTGTAGCTGCTAAGAGTAGGATATTTGCAAAAGATATCTTTGGCTTGCTTCTGAGCCCTCCATGCTCTTTCTTTGACAGTCAGGTGTCTAACAATGAAAACAAATATAGCAAGGTTTTAGAGGTAGTAAAGATACATGTCTGAAAGAGCAGCAATGAACTCAGACTTAGGTGTGTAAAGAAAATCCTTCTTAACTATAACTCCTCTTGATGAATACAAAGTACTATGTGGGGTGACCTCAACAGGTATTTCCCCAGTAGTATTTAATTTCAAAAGCAGTTCACTCTCAAGATGATTGACCAGGAGATTTCCAGATCTCCAACTCTAGAGAGTTGACAAGCCCCTCTAAGCCTTTCTGTGTAAAGAATGAATACATCTCATCTATGAAAGAGAAGTTTCTGACAAAGAATGTAAAATAAGAAACCCAGGTCAAAGAACTTCATAGGATAGAGACGTAATGACAATCATCTGTTCATAGTTGTTTTGTAGTTTATCTGTGAAGTTGCACAAGTTTTTTTTCCATTGGGAAAGAAATATTTTGTACTCACCATGTAGTCCTGTCAGACAATTAGCTATGCTATCAGTGCACTATGCCAAGGTTTCTTGGTACTATATCCAATCACCAGTAACAGATAGACAGAAATTCCAGAACACTTGGAAAGGACATTTGTAACTGGTACTTGTTTGACCATAGCCACAATTCAACAGCTGATTGATTCTAGGAAAGACACCCAATTATAATTAGGTCAAAGTGGTGTACTGCAGTAATCCAGGCACCACTACACCATCCAGATCCTCTCTTTCCTTTAATGGGTTACCATGCATGATAAACATATGGGTGAATGTTTATAGGGAGAAAAATTCCTAACTCATACCTGTTTTGTACAAGTATCTATACCATCTCTTTATATGGACTTATCTCTCCACACACGCCACCCAGAGTGGGGAGTCAGACACAGGACCAACATGAAATGCATTTCTAGCTACTGGCATATGCAATCAGTACCTGGGTAAATGGATTAATAAAAAGTAGTTATCAATCGCGAATGTCATACTACATGCAGAAAACCTGCAAGAAAATTTGGAAAATTAATGTGAAGATACCCAACTAAAAATATACTCTAAACTAGTTATGGAAGGGTAAAATTCATGACTATATCAGTCACTCAAGTGCTGTGTTTTAAGATTCTAACCTTAAGAATATATATTTCCCCAAAGTAACAAGTAATAAGTCATATATATCTTCTTCACAAGAAATACAACTCTCGAGTTTGCACTACAAACTTTAAATACTCGTGACGAATATCTTTATAAAAACTATATACGTTTTTGATAATGAAATTTTTAGCAACTTTTGTCAGATCTACATATAAAAACATGATTTCAGGTTTGAAAAAGGAAGGGGTAATTGTTTTATGTATGAATTTTGAAAGTAACATTTCATATGTAAATTTATAGCCTTTTAAATAAGTCATTCTTTTATGAGTTATCCACAGTTTTTTTATAACCTTTCAAATACTTATGGCTGATTAAGAATCCATATTTCATTATTCTGTCATACATACTTCCAAAGTAATTATACGATAAAAATCTAATATATATATATATATATTTATATGTATGTATCTGTGTTCTTTATTATGAAGGAGAAAAAATTTTTAGAGTGTCTACAAGATCTAAACTAATTTGAAAGTACTTTTTTTTGCTTCAACGAAGACATGCCCTCAAGCAAAAACAATACCACAGTGACAGTAAGCTGCTGCTGGATGATTTATTTAATTTTTAAACTAAACCTTTAAAAGCTCCAAGCAATGAAGATCAATACAAAACAAACAGGTATACAATACCAAAAGTTACATAAAACATAAATATAAGCATATATGTAAATGTTTACACATACATAAAAAACAACCACAGGCATAAAGAGCCTCTTAAATCATAATATTCATAAAAATTAGATTCATAGTTGAGGTTTGTAATTTTATTAATGCACAATTACATAAATTAAAACTGAGAAATAAGTACAATGGCCATAAAAAAATTCCTATATTCTTCAGTTTAAAAAACTGTAGCTGTATCTACTAAAATTTGTAGTGCAACAAATGAAAATATATAAAAAAAAATTACAATATGTTGTAAAAATGTAACTTAGCATGCATAGAAAAGGAAAAAAGCAAACTTTTAAAAATTCTTCTTTTTCTGCTGTAAAGTTTTGAAATTCAAAGTTAAAAAACTAAAATACACATACTCATAAAATTAAAACACTCTGAACTTCCAACAAATTTCATAATACAACAGTCTTAATAGCAACTGAAAATATTTTGTGACTAGATGTTTTGGTTGATGCAAAAAAAAACAATTTAAATGCTAATTATAAGCAATTGCCTTTAAGTCAAAACAATCATATCCAATGTGACTTCTTACATATATCATATTAAACAAAAACCAAAAGTTCATAAAAGCATACATAATTTTTTCCACAAAATATTAGTAAACTTTGAATTACTGAACCTTCTTTTTCTGTTTTTACATTATTGGGAAAAGCTCATTATTGAACACTTTCAAAATTGACATTTTCTAGCAAGATTTTAGATCAAGTACACAAGCCCTCTAATATTGTTATATCATGGAATACATATGATAAACTAATAGTAGAATATTTACTTAGAAATGCTACTCCTTAAGCTTACAGTTATGAGCCATGGAACAATTACAATTAGTGTGAATGGAAGGCATAATACCAGACAACATAATAAAGAAATAACTAACTGCATGATTTGGCTATGATTATAATTTGTTAAAAAAATCCCAAAATATGAGATAGTAAAAGTAGGCAACAAACAATTTTGTAAATTATATCTAATTCATTCATTTAACAGTTTGAAATATGTAACATTTTCTTTTATGTTCCCACATTCACACTTTCTTAAACAAACACAAAATACTACAATGGAATGGATGGAGAAAGAATGAAATAAATGTGTCCTCGATAACAAATGCATTTTTGATACTCAAATATACAATCCACCAAATACAAGAGCCAACATTTCTGTACAATATCTAGTGAATTTAGTTATATTCCTGAACACTTTTTAGGCTTTTGTCAAAAAATATATCAAACTAACTTTCAAACTACATTAATCACATTTCTTTCTCACAGCTTCACATTGTAGGAAATATGTTTAGGAGCAAAATTATTATTCTTTATAAACAACCAAATTTTGCCTCTATTATGATAACAAGATATGCACTTGTTGAGCAAATTTTTTCATAGTTTTTAGCTCTTTTTTTGTAAAAATACTACATCAGCTCTAATTTATCTCACTATTCAACAACTAAGGTTTTGTTTTTAATATTACAGTAAGAAATGATACTTATTATCATTGTTTTGAAATTAAAATTTTAACATTTCTATAAGTTTTTTGAGGGGAAGAAGCAATCATACCTCATAGAAGATGAAAGAATAAGAAGGAAAAAACTGTACCAATTTATTTTACTACAGTTTTTTTCCATTTTACTAAAATTTTTAATTTCAATCTGATAACTTTTATCTGAACCAACTATTAAATAATATCAGTAAACTACATGCCACATGAATCACTGATGTTTCCACAACACACACACATGTATAATCTGTTTAAAATTAAAATCATGTTGACTTGTCCTTTTATAATTAGTCTCTTGTAGATTCCAAATTGGAGGTATCTCAAAATAGCATTTAATATCTATCTTTTGTTTGAAACAAGTCACTGCCCAGAAGGTTTTTAACTTAATTGGATGTACAGGTACCCCAAAGAATATTTGAATTTATATTTATATGTAGTGCAAGAAACTTAGCATTGTAGTGGGAAATGCTGAAGTTGCACAGTAATAATGATCATTATTCTTAATAATTTTTTACTGACATATTCCTCTTAATCAATCGTTTACAGAAACAATGTCAAAAATTATCTTCAATAAAATGTGACTGATCAGATGTAATAGGCCTAATGTTTTTCATTTTAAAGCTAGCTTTGACAGCTGCAATAAAACCACATTCTTTGCTTAAATACCATGATAGTGCAAACACAGTATACATCAATCATTATTAACAGATATATGTTAAAATAAATAACTCACAGTTAAAAAGAAAAACTTTACAATATTAACTTGCATGCTTTGACTCATCTTTCTAAAGCATTAAAGAGACTAATAGGATTATATTGTTTCTTTGTGAGCTCTAACAACATAAAAATATTTATGGACGTGCATATAGCATAATTAGAGACAAAAATAATCTTAAACAAAAACATACCACCCACTTACCTATATTTTCTATTAGATACAGTTTGGTAATAAATACTAAAATCCATTTCATGTATTTCTGGTATTATCTTAAACTATTAATTCCTGCTAGTTTTTTTAGATGAAAAAAGTACATAACGTTTTGTAGATGTACATTCTAAGTTTTTTTTATTTACTAAGATTCTATGATAGTAATGCTTTATGGACTATTAAACTGAAATATATATGAAGTTACCAAAACATCTTCACAACCTAAATTTAAGATAAAAGCAACTCAAGGCATTTTTTTTAAATATCCAATGCATGGAAAGCTGATTACAAATTCTATCATAGAAAACACTTTTTGTTTCCTTTTCAATTTTACCAAAACTCAAAAATGTTTGGTGTAATAAATGGTACATTTAGAATACAACTGGTGTTTAAGCTCTAATGACAAGTTTTCTTAGCTATTACTAAAAAAAATAAGGAAATCCCATGTAATCATAGGAAGACATCAATTTAGGTTTTATCAGAGCTATGTCTCACTGTTTAAAATGCCTGGTTGTTTTTAACTTTGAAACTAGTTATGTACATATAATTATTTACAAACATTTTTTTTTAGTTTGTTAGGTAAGTTTGTTCTTTTATAAGCTCATGCTGAAATTTTTGGATTTGAGCTGCTATTTCTTCTTCAAAAAGATCTAAAATGCCATGTAAAATTATTAATATTTTCATGGCCAATTTTTAAAATAATTTTGTTTACGACTGCAATTCTTGAAATCAACTACTATACATAAATGAAAAACTATATTAATCTTTTTAAGAGGATTCCTAAACAAATATATATGGATGCATAATGAAAACAGGGCTTTCAAGTTAGTGTTCGGTATCTTTCATTTAGTTCTTTACCACACCAATAGTTGCCTTATATATAATTTTGACACATACAGAAAAAAAATTCAATTTCAACTTAAAAATAAAAAAAAACAGATTGACAGCAGTACAGAGACCAGAAACACTATGGGATAAACAATTAATTCAAAGCTTTTTACATAAAAAGTAAATTCTTTAACTAGGCAATAATAAGATTTAAAAAAAAAACTAACAATGATCAGTTATCTTATTTTTGGGTCATTCAAAATGTTTTTCTTTTCTTAACATGCCTTTAAAATTCTAAACACCAGGTTACAATTCGTGTTATGGTAATTTACTGACTATGAATAGCTATCTTGTAAGAAGTACAATTATATGTAATGTAAATGGATATTAACCCCTTACACTATAATAACACATGGTTTTTTAGGGGCTTTACATGCCCTTGCTAAATGCCAGGATATTTCTGTGAACATATAGTAAGAAAATAATTAAATTCAATAATCAAAACAAGAAACACTTCTGTTGATCTAATTTGACTCAAAAATAACTTACAAGTAAAATAAAAAGATAGAAAAAACATTCATATTTACTTTTTGGAAATGATTTTAAATAATGCATTTTTTAAAGAAAATATTTTCAAAGATGATGAAATACATTTCCAAATTTTGTGTATACATCTTCGACAAGAAAAAAAATATTAGTCGAGTTACACTCTGCTTGTTTACAATAACACATTATTTTCTTACTAATATGAGAACTTCACTTACAAAATGTAAGATTTAGCTTCTTTTATGACAAAAAAAGACAAGAAGCCACGACCTTGAATGTTGGTTGCCTAGTATCTTCTCATCATCGTTAACTACTTGTATAAAACCAAACTGACAGATAATAATCATCCTATAAGTTCAACCATTATTGTTCTTTTTCAGTACAAAGCTACCCAATGGCTATCACTACTCTGTCCACCAGATTTTAGCTTTGTAAAGTCTGTAAACTTACCATTGACCCGCTGGGGGACTAATTATGTGAGAAAAAAAAAGCTTTCTAAATTTTGACAGGCTATTAATTCTAAAAATAGTATGCCATGTTCTATTATTAGAGGCATTCAGATAATGAAGTAAGATTAAGTACACTTACACTAAGAATTGGCTTTGGAAAATTATGCTGACTTATTTTTCTTCAGAAATAAATGCATTTTTTTCCAATAAATTTCCCATGATGAAAATAACTAATTTATTTACACCATTAACCCTAATCTTGTTCACTAACAGTTATGTTCAGACTAGAAAATCTTATGTAATATAATTACATAAAGTTTTTAATTTAAAAACTATTGTTATATAAAATAAATGATTTCAAATTAGCAAAAATTGCTTAAAATAAGTAGACCAAATTCACACGCATTTTACAGAGGAATCTTCATCCATTCGATCAAGTAACTGAGTAAAATATTTTTATACACAGCTTCAGAAGAACCCAAAAATAACTCTGAATAATATAATTTTTCTTTAAAAAGAAATCTAAACAGATGCTTCATCAGGCATTAAAAATGTAAAGCTTATTTATAGCAATAAATAAACAAACACAGAATATAAAGCAGTAATGCAGAATAAATGTGTTGAAATACTATTACACATTTTCATTATTATTACATTGGATCAATAAATTATCAAAGTATGTTTCTATTAATTTTACTGTTATGCCTTATCACACTTATTAGCCTGAAAAGGGGGTCATGCTTTGCCGTTTAGGCATTATAAACCTGAATATGATTAATGGCAAAATACACGTTTCTATAATTCTTAAATGGAATGTTGCATTCATAATAAAATACACAATTGTTTAGTTATGTAGCATTAATTACATGATTAATGGCAAAATACACGTTTCTATAATTCTTAAATGGAATGTTGCATTCATAATAAAATACACAATTGTTTAGTTATGTAGCATTAATTACATGATTAATGGCAAAATACACGTTTCTATAATTCTTAAATGGAATGTTGCATTCATAATAAAATACACAATTGTTTAGTTATGTAGCATTAATTACAGTAAAGAAACTGATTTCAAGCTGCAACAAATAAATATTTGAAAATAGATATAAATTGTTACTGTAAAGTTAGAACTCAATAAAACCTACTATAGAATCAATGAAATAAATAGTTGTTCACATACTTTTTTGTAGCTTGCTCTTTTTTTTTAGCTCTGTTAAACACAAGGTTATCATAATTTTTTGACAAACTTATCATGAAGTTTCCATCAATCTTTTGTATTTCTAAAAAACAAATTAACATTTTTTGGTGGTACGTACCAATATAAACATTTCTCACTGATGTGTGTGTCGTTAATTTAGTTATCCCTTAACATAAGTTATAAGTGAGCTCTACCTAATACCACTTCTTTATGACCGATTGGTAATTTTCCCCAATTAATAATCTTAATATAGTTTTATGTAAGTGCTCTTTATGTACAAAACTTTCAAAAATTAGATACTTAAATATTTTGATTTGATTTGAGGCAGAAGAGCAATATTAGTTTAAAACTTTAACATGGAATGCTTCAGGCCAGGAAAGTTCAAACTTCTCCTTTACAGTAGTAAAACAAACTTGGAATTTGTTGTTCTATTTTAATAATCACAGCACAGCTTTATTTGTCTTTGAAGGATTGTCTAGTATGAAAAAAAAAGATGATTAATGTGAATATTCGGCACAACTTATTTTTCCATATGAAACGTTCTTCTGAAAAGCTGCTATAAAAGAAAGCCAACTGATTTTCAAAACAATAAAAATAATAGAAAAACTACCAGTCTGAGATAGAAGGTTCTTCATAATATAAAGGAAAAAAAAAAATATATATATATACTAGCTTACATGAGCAAAGTGCAAGTTCTGTGGTAAAAAGCAACCATAAGTATTGGAAGCTGCAAAAATAAACTGAAATTCTGTTTTCTTTTCTATGCTGTAAAAGCAAACTATACAAAGAATGCACCTACTCATTTAACCTTAAGATTAGCCAATCCAGTAAGTAAAGAGTGGTTTTTTTCTTCAAGTCTCTTCTTTTCCAATTGAGTAGCTGACAATTCCTACATAAAGAAAGAAATGCAGAAATATTGAAATAAAATTTCTTTCATTCTCATACAGTCAATATCATCAAAAGTTGCTATTTAAGAATCAGAAAATTCAAGAGCTTTTAGAAGGTATATACTCATTCATCAGAAAAGATCAAAAGCAAACTCAATCAGGAAAAATTCTGAAAGTTGCAAGTTTATTCTAATTGTAATTTATCTATTTTTGTACTGTAAATTCTTTATAAGCATCACTCACACTTTACTACTAAAACTCTAGATTTTCCTACTGAACCAAAATTAGAAAAAGAATGATACTAAAAAAACATTTCATTGAAGTATTTATGATCATACCTAAAAACTGTGTTTTTTATTGCAGAAAAAGGACAATAGTGGATTCTACCCTTCACGGAGCAATAGTTTTTACTTATATTTCTATACAGTTATTCTGAAAAGCATGAATAATGACCTAATTTTTAAAAAAAGTTTTACTGAAAGTCAAAAGGAAAACTTCCTATTATATAAATTATTTTGAATGCATACTGCATTCATACATGATATATTAAAAGTCACTGTATAACTTATTACCATCTATAGATACATTGACAGTGACCAATTTAACCTTCACAATAAATCTGTGATTTGCATATTCTGAAGCTACTATTCATAAAAGAAGCAGAGTAGTCTTATTAAAGCATGTTTCTCTGATGTTTCTTATCATCAAACAGGCTCAGGTGAAATAAATACTTGAGACACAGGTTTAGTGAAATATAATGTTTTGCTTTCCTTGTATTCAACTGATATTCCCCCTTCAGAAAAAATATTATTTTAGCTATATTTTTAATCAATCTCACTACAGGCAAATAAGTGTTATTATACTAGAAATACTATTACAGTTAATTTCCATATCAATATTAACCACAATTATATTCTTATTTTTTTTAATGGTACACAGTACTTACACAACTCAAGGCATTGACTTTTTGTTCCAGAAAAAGAATCCTAGCATCTTTTTCCTTGACCACCTCTAAAAGTCTGTGATTTTCTTCTCGTGCTCGTTCCAGTAGCTAAAATAATTGGCAGGTACATTTTTTGAGACATAAAAAAAATATGGCAACTGGTTATCTGTAAAATTGAATTCCAACTAACTGGATAACTAATTACAAAACTCAATCAAAAACATTGAAATTTTTATATTTACAAAACCAAAAACAGCAGTACTAAATTTATAAAATTCTTAATAATCTCCTTGTTACCTGGAATGGTTTAATTTGGCTACAAACAAACAAACAAACAAAATGTTAAATAAGGTTAGATATAAGACTAACTGCTAAGAGAACAAATTAAAATACACATATGAAGATATGAAACATAATAATGCTTTGAAAATCTCTACACTTTTGAGATTGTTATGTAAGTTAACCAGAAAAGTACACCTGAAACAACAGTTGAAAGTAATCTTGGATGTAATTTTAAAAATATGTCAACTTGCTACAAGAACTATTTTGAAAATACATTTAAGGATTTATATCATTTGCTACGTCAGTTACAAAATCAGTTTTTTCAAAATGTTCTGCACGACTTGCTGATGTTTTTCGAGTTTTTTGAAACTTATCTTTGACTTGGGTATTGTTTAAATTAACAGAGTTGGAAATAAAACTCCAATAGATAATATAACATTATAAATGTACCAATGTTATAAATTTAAACATCTTTAATAGTTGTGCTATATTAGCATATTTCACTACTTTTATGTTAACACTGATGAAAGTTGTCCAGTAAGTTTAAAGTCTTATGTGTGATTGTTAAGATGAACTCAGTGTTTAAGCATTATTTATTACATACAGCAGGTTCAACAGACAAATAAAGTATGCATCTTTAGTCTTAGTGGAATGAAAATATTGTTTAACAAAATACAGAATATGCAGAAGCAAAAATCACAATATTAGATACAAAATTATCACAAGAAAAGTAAAAGATCCAAGCAATAATACTGGGTAACTGAATGTGTTTTTGGAATAGATGTGGAGAAGTGAATTTTAAGCTCATACTTGCCCTGCCAAAGTTCCCCTGATCAAAATATCATACTGTTCAGTAATTTTTTTTTAACGGTTAGATAAAGTAACTTTTGGCCAGGACAAGTGGTTTTAAGCTTTAGTAGCTCAACTGGACAAGTTATTTAAAAACTTTGCTTAAATTCCTGACTATGCACTACCCAAGTACCTCCGACTCAATGATTTGTCAGTCCATATTACTGCTGGCTTGTCAATAACAGGATACCACATGCGAATCACATCAGAGTGATAATGGCACATTTAAATAGAGCTTACAAGGCTGATATTGGATTATTTAGTGAAAAATTAAAAATCAACTTTGCCTTCCATCAAATTGTTTTTAATATTTGTTTCAAGTTACTATTAAAATAACTTGGATATAAAAATGACTGATTAATGGAAGTCATTTAAAATCACAGTATGAGAGTACCATTATGTATAAATTTCTTTCACTGTATTTGTGGAGCTTCTTGTTTGGAATCTTACAAACTGAGCACTATGTAATGCCAGGTGATTAAAGACTGGGTTTGTTTGAGTAAAATACATTATAGTTATTCGCACTTATCTAATATCTAAGTGATTCTGACTGTGAGCAATAAAAACTGCAAAATGTGAATAAATCATGAGTTATAACTTTACAGCTAGACAAGATTCAACAATATAAACAACAATAAATACATTCAAATTGAAAATTAATGAGTTTTATCAGGGTTAAAATGATTCTTTAATGCAAATGTCAATTCAAAAGTCTGCATCTAGATGTGCAAATCATATGGACACTTAAGACGGAAAAACTATCTAAATATTGTGTACAAACAATTCATATGTACTGAACTGTACCTCTTCAGAACTTTCACTACAGGGTGTCTCTGGTCGACCATTGACACTAGATGATATTTTCTGAATACTTCGGTTAGCATCATCCTGAACCAAACTAACAGTAGAGTCAGACTGATTGACAGTGCTATCATAGTCCTGGTTATCTTCATCATCAGCATCAAGATCTGATGGACTAAAATACAAACTAACATCAGAGTTAAGAATTTAAAAAATTAAAACTACTCATATCTAAAGTTATAATATTCTAAGAATTTGAGGAAGACATTTGAGTAAAAAAAAGCAGAAAAATCACTTTTAAAGAACAGATACAAATAATGAATTATGTGAAGTTCATAGTTCTTAAAATTTTGAATATCTTACATAATGCTGAGTTTTTTTTCAAATTAAATTTGAGTTTTTTTTGTGAAAACAAATCATCTCTTTTTGAAATTTGATATTTAAGAAAAAACTAACTATTTTTTCAACTTTTCATTATCCTTGGCAAGCATAAATGCTATATCAAGGTAACTTCTTTTCAAAGAAACTATCCAAATAGCAACAACAAAAACACACTCAACACATTCTTGCTTGAACAAATGTGAGCTATAATCACTCCAAGTTGTCATTTCAAAGTAATTTCCAAAACATGATGTTCACATACCTTTTATTATTTCTAGACCTGTATGGCTCATGGAGACTCTCCTTCTGTATTAAAAATAAATAAATAAATACATTCAACTTACAAGTTATGAATAAGTATGAGGGAAAACAAATGAGAAGAATTTAATACTTAGTTTTACTCTCAAATCAACCCTACTCTCCAAAAAAAAATGCAATATCATTATTTTCTAAATATCAAAAAGATCAAATCAAATTTACAACAAAACCATATACAGTTAAAAATATATCTCCTAAACTTTTCGGATAAATGAACAAAAGCAATAATAATTTACTTTTTTTTCTCGTACTCAGTTGTTTCAACAGAGATCAAACACAGATTAAATACAGCAACAAGTTGATAAAAAATGCTTTCTACACTCTTATTAAATGGTTTTATTTTGCAACATTTTGGCCTTAGGCCCACTTCAAGCAAAGTTTAACATTTAAAGTCAGTGTCAGCCTACACTGTATATGTTTTTGTTTCAAAATATTCATATATTACTTTAATAAATTTCAATTACTGTGATACAAAAAATATCTCATTTTAGTTTACAAAAATGTCAAGTTATTTATTTTGTGTAATAATTACTGAATCATATTGTTTTATTCAAAATATAAAAAGTTTTTAGTTCCATTACCCAGACTTCAACAAAATAACTTTGTAATTATTTGAATTGTCCAACAAATAAGTATTTAAAAAGAAAGCATCGATCAGCTTGAGAATCAATGTGTCCAAGGCATATGGAAAGACATCAAGAGTTGACTTGAGCCAAAGGGTAGATCACAAATGCAGACCACAGACTTGACCTTTTATATGTCCCTTCTACTGGTCATATGCTTCTGGGCCCTTCTAATATGTTTTGGCACATTCCAGGATAAATTCGACTTTCTGGTAAACAGTGAGAATGATAAGTGGAACTAGAGTTGAAATAAAAAACTAAGGAAGTGAACCTTGGATTTAAAAAAATAACTATTAGTAAAATGGCTCATCCTTTTAACCATTAACTTTCTGTTTGGCTTTGGTGTGTGTATAGTTGTGGTTATGTTCCTTTTGTACAAAAACCAAATGTCTATTTTTGAAATGATGTCTTTGACCAGTGAGCTTTAAAACTAAAATTCAATAAGGCTCTAATCCAGCAATAAGAGAAATCACCTAAGAAGTTTGATTAAAATCTGATTTTTAAAACTTGAATTATTATACAGGAACCACATTTCTACTTTAACAGCCTTGCTATGGGCTTGGTTGAATTGGCCGAGTTCATGACCTCAAATTGACCTTTATGGTTTCTATAGTATAACTTCTACGATGTTTTGTGTATATTCACAAAATGTTGCAAGCTTTCAGTAATCACTAAGTCATTTGTAGAAAAAGACCTGAATTTTTAATGAAGTATTTTCACTCAAAATTTCTCCATGAATAGATGGAGTCAAAGTGTTGATTGCTCCGAGTACAAAGTGATTTTCATGTTAAGATTAAAAATACTTTTGTCATCTGAAAAATCTCAAATTTCACTTGCATAATCTCTAATTCCTCCTAAATAAATTTCAAAGTTTTTTTTAGTAAACCTTTATATTTTATCTGTTATTTTTCTTCCACAACTCTATACGATGTTGGTCAATTTGACCAACCTCATAACCACCAAAAGAAAATTTAAATAAATCTAACTTACCTTTCTTTCTTTCTAGAATGACTTCAGTTTGTAAAATGAAACAACATTTGTTTATCCTAAATAGGTTTAAACTCATAACAGTATAAATCTGTATCTACTTAAATTTTATTGTTTCATTGCTATTTGAACAGTGTCTAACTAATACTCCCACCATAAAAGTTGTAAGTCACTTACCGAATGTGTAGCTCACCTTACCCTATCAAATTACATAATGCACAGGCTACTTGCGAGTTCTTGTAAGCATACCTTGTGGACATTTATTATTATTATTGTTCTTTATTTTATCTAATCTAACCTAAAAAGTTTTTAATTTTTACATTTTAGTTACTTCTATAACAATAAATAAATTTCAGAAAATTGTACCCTAACTTTGGTGGACCATGGGCAGAACAACCATGTAGGCCACAAGACATAGGTTAGAATTGTTTGATTGTACATACTGTGCTTGGTTAATTAAAAAATAAAGTTTTTATAAAATGCTGAATAAAAATACTTCCTTAGTAATTATTGAATTATTCCTTTAGCAATTATGCTTAAATTGCAGTATTCTTCAAATTAATTACTATAAAAATGTTTTCCCTTCATTTTAGCCTTAGTTTTTAATTTTCAAAATTGTGAAATAGCACACCTTTAAAATGTGACAGCTCACATTCCTGTTTTAGTTATGACAGATTTCTTCCAAGTGTTTACCTAAAAAAGTATAAAACTAATGTTTGAGCCTTAAAAATAGTTCTCCTGTTGTATGCTTAGGATCTGTAAATTTCAATGTTTGAGCCTTAAAAATAGTCCTCCTTCTGTTGTATGCTTAGGATCTGTAAATTTCAATTTTTTTATTTTTTCAAAATACAGAATCGTAGAGTATTATTTTTATTACTCAAAAAAACAACAGTTATGAAATTTATGTATTACATTGTAGTTTTTATGCCATAAATGATTGATGTGTACTAAGTTGCTTGGTTAAAAGTTAGCTAACTAATAAAATTTATGAACATTTAGTGCAAAAACAGTGAATTTGTGATCAGTAAAGCAAGGATCTGCATATATAATTATACTGTAGTTAAATTCATTCTAAAGAATTTTTTAAAGGAAAGTTATTAACCAAAACTGTTTATACCATTGGCTGGTAAGAATATCTGATATTTTCATTTTCTAGACAACTATTAAAATGATTTCAGAGTTAATATTATGTGTGCTCAATGTGTTAAAAGTGTATGGATGTTAGAGTTATGTATACGTGTTAAGTAATGTATAACATTTGTAGTTTTAAGTGTTTTTTTTAAAGAGCTTGAACTGAGTTATTATGTAATCAACTAAGCCTGAATTGTGTACATCGCCTGTTGTTTTTGATGATTTAATAAAGCTAGTGTTTACGTGTATGTGTAGTGATTTTTTCCTATATTTAGACAATAAACAATTGTGACAGTTTGTGAATTTAAAGAATGTTATTCTTATTAATGATACAGTCTTCTTTAGATACTTTAATATGAAAAACTGTTTTTGTTTTTTTCATTGGCACACACACACTTCAATGGATTTTTTTATGTAACTTTTAACTTGTAGGCAAATGTTTACCAAAATTGAAATGACATTGACTTCCATTTGTCAGAATTATATTTGTATGATATTATTGTAAAACATTTTCGTGCAAGTTTAGTCAATAGTCCTCTGTATATAATTTTCTGTTTATATGAAAATACCAGGTAGTAAAGGATTAATGCATATTTTTTGTTAGATAAAAATTAGTCTATCAAAACTTATTGAATGAAAGTTCTATAAGGTATTATGACTTCATATCAATTAAACTCAGCAGCTTGGGTTAAAAAAAATGTGAAATCAGTGTAGTTTTGCTAATATAGAGAAATAATTTTGATTACTTAGCATTAAACTTATGTTTGATTTTTTTACCATATCAAATTATGTAAATATTGATTTGTCTAAAACAAAATGGGATTCAGAAAATGTTTTTGCATTACTTTCTTGGTTTGTCTTGATACAGGTTTTTTTGTTGTTTCTTTTTTTTCAGAGAGACTAATTCACAGAGATTATTTTTTGTAAATTAATTTATTTTATGTCATTTCTATTATGTTTGTTTTGAAACCAACCATTTGATCCATCTTTTTCAAAACACTCAGCCCTCAAGTAGTGGAGCTGAAAATTCTAAAGATGGTCGGTTTCCTGGTGATAAACCTGCATCTTCTCAGAAACGTGGTATACAAACATCAAAAGATGGTATGTTTTTAAAACTTTTTAATCGTCTGCATAATTAAATGTTTGTTTGTTAAGCACAAAGCTACACATCAAGTTGTCTGTGCTCTGTTCACCAAGGGTACCTGAATTTTAGTGTTATAACTTCTTAGGCTTACCACTGAGCCACTGGCAGGCAAAAGTAAGTACAGTATTGTTATCTACATATATTTTTTTTACTTCACAACCACATTTTTTATGATGCTGAATATGCACTCAAAAGTTATTTCTGCTCCACAGGTTGGTTATTTTATTAAGTTGGCTAATAATTGTGCCTCTTTAGTGTTTTAGAATTTTTTTCAGTTAATATGTTTATAGCTCTAGATAAATTCAGGATTACTAACAATGTTTTTAGGAAGGGGTTACATTTGCTCAGTCTTATTAGTGATAGAAACAAGCTTTTCCAGTTTAGTAGTTTATTTAACAACAGTTAGCTTTATTTTGAACAGAATCCATATGTTTACATGTTGAATTTATATGTCATGGTTTTAAACCCTGATATTTCACTGGTACTTTTACACGTAATATATTGTCATAATAAATTTTTTATTTGAAGGGGGTGGGAATGAGTTAACAAGCAGATCTGGTTGTGCAAGTTTTTCTGTCTTCTATATTACAAATGGTGCTTTCTGTGATATGGCATTATTGTGTATGCTGATGTTAATAGCTTTTACACTAACTTTTGTCAAATATACTAACAGAAAAGTGTTTAGGCATATATTTCAAGTGGCAGAATATTGATAGAATCATAAAATGCCTGGTAAGTGTCTGTTTTTAATGAATAATGGTTATACAAAGATGAATATGCATGGCTTGAATGGACAAAGAACAAATACTAAGCCTGTTGTGAAAAGTGCTTGATGTTTGGCATGGGTGAATTGGCACTAATCAGCCATACCAAAATATGAATGTACCACAAAATACAAGTATATAGGATTTTCTTTTACAATGAAAGGTGCCAGAGGTCATGGAGCTTCAGCTGTAACCTTGACAAATGGTTCATAAAGGCCTTTCATTGATGATCTTCCTACACTTGTGCACTCATGAACATTTTTCATTTAGTCTTGGAAATGTCCTGAAAATAATTATGAAGTTGGTGTATGAACTGTGAACACCAGTAGTATGAGGCCAGTTCTGCTGTTATTTGTCTTTCAACTTTTGTAGTGTGTGAAGGCATCATATTACACCTCTAGTTTGGCCTGAAGAAGAAAGATCCACCTTTCAAAAGTGCTCGGGTTATGGGGTTTTTATTCTTCTATACCACCTTTAGTTTAGGGTCATTTGTTCTCTAGACTAATTATGCATTTATGCCGTGTGAACACTGTATAAGGAATCATTTTTTCCTCTCTTTTTATAACTTAGTTTGTTAAAAATGTACATTGTGTTTTTTTAAAATAATTGTTTGAAAATGCATGGTTCATGTCCCATTACTGTAAAAATGCATTCTATACTTTGTGTCTGTAGGTGCATTATAATAGCAATGGTTGTGCCCCACTGTTTGGTCAGACAAGAGTAGCCCAAGAATTGTCTGTTGACTAGTTGCTTTTCTGTAGTCTGCTTGTTCAAAATTAGAGATAGCTATATGCAGATAGTCCTTGTGTATCTTTGCATGAATCTTTTAAAGAAACTTTAAATAAGTTCATGTTTTATGACCATTTAAAAAGATATATCTAGCTACCCAGTAAATTATGGATATATTGAGTAAAAAACATGTGCAGCAAAGCAACACTACTCCTTCCTGTATGCTTTCTATAATCCATCTATTGTATTAAGACAACTGTTTCAACAATCCAATTGCATAGAAATCCTAGGTGCTGGATGTTGCAAATTAACCAGTGTATTTTCATATGGAATAATTTAATTACACCTTTCTTTTTCCCATATGCTTTAAGCATTTGATGGTTGAATGGGTTGACTGGATGCCTTATCTTGGTAAACACGTGCCCCATTTCCAAATGAAGTTCCTTCTTCATTATGTTGCATATTGTTATTTGGGCCACTTGGGTGGCTTTTGTCGTTAAATGTGGTATTCATGGATTCTCACCTGTTACAAAACACCACACTTTACTTACCATGACTATGGTACAACTTGCTGCAGGTCTCTTTTTTTGGATGGCTCTGTTTCCTCATGTTCCCTTATTTTGTAATGCCACTAATTACAAGGGTTGTCTCCATTTTTGAAATTCTAAATTCCCGATATAAACACGTTTTTACGATTTGAGTGTATGAATATTTTGGATTGGAAAAGGCTGTTACATGCCAAATTTTTATGACTTTACACTATCTATGAAATGCCAAGCAATGTCAAAATTGTTTTAATATAATATACTTAACCCCCTGTTGTTCCTGAGAAAAGTTAACTAGCTAGGTACAGTGTTAAAGGAAAACTGTTATTGGTACTTGTTAAATCTCCTTCAGTTTGAATATAGTAACAGGAATAACTTTTATATTTTATTATTGGTTGAATATTAAGTTTTACTCTGGTTAATGTTTTTGTCACTAGGTCGAGTAACCAATATTCCAGTTGGTATGGTGACAGATCAGTTTGGGATGGTTGGTCTCTTAACATTTATAAGGGCAGCAGAATCTGACAGCAGTTTAGTATCATTAGCTCTGGGAAGTGACCTCACCACATTAGGACTGAACCTCAACTCACCAGAGTAAGTCTTGACTGTTCTTCTGTGCTTTTTTATGCATAAAAAACAACAACAATTATATGACCAATAATTTGAAGTTATGCACCATAGAGTTGCTGATCATGCAGAAAAAAGAATGTATTGATTATGTGGCAAAGTTTAAAATTATGCAGCCATTATCTAAAATAGAAAAAACTTAAAATAATAACATTTAAGAGTATTTTAGACATAATGCAATTCCACTGTCAACAACAAACACAGTACAAGTTTTTTGACAAATCTATAAATAATGTGAACAAGTACACAGTCACCCAGAATCTATCATAAGACTACCAGATTAACTTCGTACAGTAGTACACACAGTTATCCAAAAGCCAGGATAGGAGCACTAAAGTAGTCATGTCTGAAGTCTCTGGATGTGTTTAAATTAGTAGACAGTATACAAAAATCAATTAAAGAGAATTAGAGTGATTTTGTACAAGCCTACATAGTTCAGAAGTCTGAATAAGTCTGTGTACTAGTATTCTGTTATGTTACAAAAACAAAATAATTATCTGATTGCAAAATTTTTCAAAGTGCATGCTTCCATATTAAATGTTTATTAAAATAATGGTAAATATAATTTGATGATACTTTCTTATTTTCGGTCCTGCACAATTCTATTTGTAGTGTTTATTTTCTATTATTATGGCAATTTCTTGTATGTGTATTTAACTTATTAAGTGAAATAGTGTTTTTTATACCATGAAAGATATTTATTGGTGATAAATTTTCAAATGATTTTTGTATTAAAAGCATAATACTAATTTTGAAATTTTGATCCAATAAAATCAACTCTGCATTTGTAATTTTATTATGTAATGAAGCACTTGTGTCTGACCTGTTCAGTTTGAACTAGAGCTATTTCTCTACAGAAATAAACCTTGAAAGTAAATTTGAAACACTTAGAATTTGTAATTATAAAAAGAAATTCTTATAATTTTTTTCTGAACTCTGTTAACATAAATCTTTAATTTAGTTAAAAGTAAAAATAGGGTTTCAAGATTTTAACCTTAAAAATAATGTGTTTTAATAGCCATAATATGTTATTCTAATTTGAGCAGTATCACTGAAGTTACAGTAATTATTTTAATTAAAAGTAGCATATTAAAATTAGCATGTAATGTTATGCTTTTACTTCAAAGGAAAATGTACTAAATTATTGACAGGCATTATTGTTGTTTAATATATAGCTCTAGATCTGTCTGAGTTTCCATCTCTGACCAACAGAGGACCTCAAGAATCAAACACCTCCAGTTTAGCTCCTAGCATCATCCAAGGTAGACCACCTTATGGTAAGCTAAAAAGTAATCTTAAAGTTCAAAGTTTATTCAACAAAAAAACAGTAAACTAAAGTAAGTAATAATACGCTACAAAGTAGAGCATGCGTAACTATAGAAGTCATGACAAAATCATGTTAATATCTGATTTTTAGGCAAATAAGCAGATGTCATGATAGACTCAATCAAAACATGAATCATATTTTCAGTTACAGAAGGAAAAAAAAGACTATATTAAAACTACACAAAAATGATAAAAGTTAGTAATAAATTAGCATAGCATGAGTGTCATAAATTGTTGTGTAAAACTAGTGTATTCATGAAACAAGCCATTTATAACGTATTTAACTCTTTCCAGATCACAAAGCACCTTTTTGGTTTTGAATGCACACCTGCAGATCCAATTTTAAAGTTTAAGAACAAATATAGTAATTCTATCTATTTCAACAGCTTTTAACTCAAAAATATTTTAGAATTAATATTTTTGTTTAAAGAAAAATGGAAAAAATATTTTCAAACTTGCATTATTGTACAGCTTTGAGGAGTCTCACTTTTAACCATCCAAGCATGGGTTGGTCATTTTACACAACCTTGAAAATGAAGATACTTTGAAGATAGATAGAACACTAAGTTACTAAGTGTATCATCACAACCTTGGCATGCTTTTGATAAACATTACAAGTCTGTAGTATGCAAAAATTTGAATTTCTAAAGCATTTACTGATTGCAAGCTGATTTTATGCTAAGAATAAAAATAGTTCTTTTTGTCTGATACATTTCATTCGCTTAATCTCTTGAACTTCCTATTATATTTATATTTTATTTTCTATACCATAACACAAACTGTAGCTAAATAATAATATTGTAAAATTTTAATATTGTGAAATAAAATGAACAATACTTTTTTTCCATCTTTGAATGAATTGTCACCATATTTTAAATGTCATTATTTTCAGAATTTCAGCTGTTATCTTTTCACACATATTTCTTAATTTTATAGTTTTATTGCATGGCTTGTACGATGTTAGTTTCTTAAGAGCATCATGTCACATCAGCAGATTTACATACACTTTACATATGCATACAAACAACTCTGGTTGATGCACTTGTAGTTACCGAAGCCTTTGTTTTTCTAGTTCTTTAGCTCTTTCTATTAGATAAAAAAAATGTATGTCAATTTAGAATATGTGGTTTTGAAAACTGTCTTGAAATTTTAGTTGGCTTCTTTCATTGGTTGGGAAACTTCATTTCTCACAAACAGAGAAGTTAACCTTTGAAATTTAATCTTAGAATTGTTAAAAATTATGACTAGGATAAGTCAGCCAGAGTAGCTTCTATAATATTAGTTATACAAACTAAAAGGAGAATTCAGGATACAGACGCATCACGTGACACACAGAAATAAAAATTGAAAGCTTTTTAAATTTTCCTTTTGAAAATAATAAATTAAAACTTAAATAGTATAAAATTTGAACTATAAACTACACTCTCATGCTAAATTTATTGATAAACATTGATAATATAGTTGTTTAAAGTAAATTTTGAATGTCACTCCTTGAAACATTGTGACATGCAGAGAAGAGACAGACTCATATTTAGAAGGTTAAACAAAGCACTTATAAAGTTTTTAGAATTTTTCAGCCCATCTTAAAACACAGGTATTTATTTGCTAAAAAACTATCATCTTCTGAGAATACAAGTAGGCATGTCTTGTTTCTTTTGCAATTTTCCTTCTTTTTTTTTAAAGTTTTATTATAGCTGACCTTCATTCCCATTATAATATCATATGTAGCCCAAACAATCACTAATGAAGCACAGGTTTGAAGTAGCCACTGGCAGATTTTAAATACCCTTGAATAGAGAAGATTATAAACAGTTTATATCAATGGAAAGTGGTGTGAGCAGTAACTTTTGATTTCATGGGAAAATTAATGCATGGATTTTTTTAACAACAGAGATGAACGAAAGAATTTAATGAGATGTTGATTTATGCTCTTGCTGGGTTTCTTACACTAGTTTAGTAATTAGACTAAGTTCAAAGAACAATAAATCAATAAAATTAAATGAAAGCATGTGAAAGGGATGAGGCTTAAAGCTCTTAGGATAAATGAATTTCTGTTACAGTCTATAGTCATTCTAGAATAAAATGTATTTTTGATTTCATATTTTTCAGCTTTCACTACATTTTGCTGCAGTCATATTTAGGATAGAAAAAATTAGAGAAAGTATAAAGTTTTACTGAAACAAACTTGCTATTGTTCAGACTTTTAAGATGAAAAGTTTTTTTTTTAAAACATGAAAATTACCTTGTACTGAGACTTGTCAGAGTCCGAGCCAGACTGAATTCGTAAACTCACAGGCAAATCTTTATCAAAAATATTCTATTAAGAAATGTAATTTCTTATGTACAACAGACTTTACTAAAAGATAGCCACATTTTATGGAAATACATGCAGTAAATTAGAGTAAACATTACCTCTGACCCTATGCACATAGGGCTAAACTGAAGTTGTGAAAAAATTAGTTCTAAGATGAAAAGACACTTTTAATGTTTTTTTCAAAAGGGTGTTTAACAACAAAATTTTTGAAATTTCAGATCATAAAAAAATGATAGAATAAATTAATTATTCAAAGAAACTAGTTATTTAGTAAGGTTTTAAATAAGTTTCATGCAATTTGGTTAAGTATTTCCACCGTGAGAAGAAGAAAGTCAAGGATATTAATAACTACCTATCCAGGAAACATTAAAAATGTGTAAAGATTTTGAATTTCTAATAGTTTTATTCAGATTATTTCCATTTGTCACAATTTCACCAATTTTTTTCCAATGTTTGTATAAAATATATACTTATTAATATGTTTGTGATAATTTCAGTTTTAAAACTAAAATCATTCACTTTGTAAATTCTTATATGCCAGAGTAACAACATGTTAAAAATAAATTTTATGATTATCCATTATTTTCATAAACAAAGGAAGGTTTATTGTGCTCACAGAAAATGGTGAAGGTAACCATATGTACCTTAATTTCTTTGCATTTATGACCCAAAACATTAGTGCATGTCAGGTTTTATGTATGGGCTGGATTCTTTACAGTAGATGCCTGTGACTTGTTGGCAATAAATTTCAACAATAAATAGCACACAGTCCACTTATTTTAAAATAATGTATTTTAACAAATGAAACGTATATAGAAATGTTTGTAACAATGTTGGTTATCATAGTTGTATCCAGAGCTTTAAATGATATTTATTTTTTCATTGAAGTTCACACAGGTTGGTTCAGTTACTTTAGAACACAATTTGACAAGATGAGTTACTCTTCTCTACTGTGTTATTACAATACAGTCTGTGATAATTTCACTTTAAATATCACAACTATATGTTCTTTTTGATTAAACTCACTCACAATCACACAAGTTAGAGTTATCTGTGGAACTAAATTTTTTATGTGTATTTATATCCCAACAGAGGTCTAGAACATTCCACACACTAGCAGAATATATGGTGCAATAATACTCAATTAAAACAATGTGAAAAATGTAGGAGGCTCTAGTAACATGATGCAATAATATATCTATCACCAATTCATAACTATTAAACTACACAATGTATGGTTCACAAACAGTTATGTAAACAAACCTGCAATAAACTATTGCATCTAAAAATAACTAAATTTAACACTCGTGTGATATAAATTATCTAAATCGTAACATTTGCATTATATTTAAACTGAAACAGTTGTGTATATCTAACAGTGCAAATAGAACATTAGAATACACAAATCTTCAGTACAAAGTTCTAAGTTTATTTAAATGAATATTTTCCTCAGTATAAGTGTTTAAAGAAGACATGTTAACATGTACTATGAAATGATCATTAATATCTAGAATAATAGTATCTGCTGTAAAGGAATAAATTTAATCATTTAATTATTTCTGAAGCACATTCTTCTTGATTATTTCAACATTTTTTCCAGAACTATTTTCATATTCTGATTATTGTTTTAAAACCTTATTTTCTTAATTAAAAAGCTTCTTTTGCTAGTTTGGTTTGCTTGATTTTAAGTTCAAAGGGAAGGTCAGTAACTAAAGATATTTTTTAATCCTTTCAAATTCTTTTACTACATGTTCTGCATTTTCGTTCTCACTAGTCTGTTGAATTCCACAGGTTTATTTTTCCTTGATAAATTTCCATTGTTATAATTTTATCAGTTAATCCATGTTTAGTAACTTCTAAGTACTTCTTAGCTTCATTACCTTTTTGCTGAAATAGTAGTTGTTTCTGATGCTGAAACTAGATACTGTTTAGAAAGTATGTATTTGGTTCCATGGAATTTAGTTAAGAATGTCCATTGTGAGAAGAAAAAATTGGAGGATATTAGTGACCCGCTTCCTTTTTTGAAGGGAATGTAGTTTCTTGAACATTTATATCATGTGTTGTTGGCATTTCAAGTTCAGAGTAGTTGAACAGTAAAAGATAATGAGTTGGAGTCACGGTTATCTTCAGAAAAATAGTTGAAGATTAAAGGTGGACAACAAGTGTTGTTCTTGTTTTATTTCTATTGACAGTTGTCATTTTTATAGTTATAGCTTAAAATATTTTGAGGGTGAGCAAAAAAGTAACCAAAATAATAGATGTTATAAGTGTTCAAAATGCTAATAAGTTGATATCAGGAAATATTAGAGGTTGGTTGAGATTCATTTATAGTAATCTTAATGATAATCATATTTATTATAATTAAAAAGTTACTTCTCATCAAAAAATAATTGCTCTTTTTAGTCTGTTTGTGGTACAACTACTCTTGGCTCTCCTTTAATAAGTATGTATGAACTTGTTGTAACTGTAAAGAAGTTATGCTAACTGTTTTGACTTCAGCATATGATTGTGGCATTTCTTTCTGAATTCTGTAGTTGGAATGGTCAAACAACCACCAAATGAGTCCAGTGAATTTCACATACATAATGAAGATTTTCCTGCTTTACCTGGGTCTCAAAGTGAGTCCCTTTTTATAGTTTTTCAGTTTGTGCATAGATCAGTATACAAACTTTGTTGTTACTGTGTTAAACAAAAGTATCTTAGAAACAATTTACTGAACAAATGTTAAGATTCAAACATATGATAACAAATATGTGAAATGACCAGTTTTAGATCAGTGACTTTTGTGCTAAAAAACCATTACATTTTTTGTAGTTAAGAAGCATTTTATGTAAGATATTGAAATTTGAGAGAATTTGCAGGAAAAAGAACTGCATTTCAAACAATGCAATGTGACATTTGAGCTTTTTCCTTAAATTATCTACAAAATAACCTGTAAGTGAAATGTTCAGATTCAGGATTTTGTTTTGGATAAAGTAAAAAAAGAAGTTTAAACTATTAATTCTAATTTCAATTTTGCCCCCTCAAATTTTTGATTTTTTTAAGGGAAATAGAAATATTTAACTTCCCACTTTCATTATTAAAACTTGTCAATATACAAAACAAAGCTGCAAAGCTGTGTTTTTTTTTAACATGTTTGTTGCTCATTTCTAGCCCAAATAGCTTAAAAACAGTGAATTTATGAAACTATCAATTTCAAAAATTGTAAAATTCAATCCATTGTACTTTGGTTTTTACAACTTTGAACCTTCAAAGCTAACAAAATCATAAATATATCCTTTGAAAGCTGGAATTTTCTTTCTCAGTCTATTTGACATGAAGCCCCCTTATGGATTGTAAATCTATAAGTGTGGCTATTATGTCAGAGGCTTTTCATGATTGCATATCTACAAATCTATTTTATGGTTTTATTTTTTGTGCTACTTATAACTAATAATTTTAATTTTACTGGTTTCCCTGCTTGCTTGTTTATTTTACTGAATTAAGTACCTTAGCAGTTTCATTTCTCTTTATAAAAAAAATCCCATTTCTTATTTAACACTAATGGTATCTTATTGTAGACTTTACCCAGATATGAACTTAGAAATCTGAGAGGGGGATTATTTTTGAAATAGTTCTTCATAATTTCTAAAAGCTTAGAAATTATGTACAGCTGTTTCAAAAAAGTTAATTTTATAAATAGAGTAAATATCTAATTATATTAGTTTTAACAATATGAATAACATATCAGTTTTTAAACTTTTTGGAGCGGATTGGAAGATTGAAACCACATTTACAAAAAAAAAAGACTAATCACGCTCCAGAAAAAATGATTTTATTCAAACCCAACATTTTATCTGAAGTGTGATTAATTATTTTCTTGTAAACATAAATATACAAAACATTTTGTTGCAAAATTTATTTAAACATAGTTGGCTAATGCCTATGATTGTATTATTGCTAATAAGCATATGTGAAACTTGGCTTACATAATGGCATAGAATACAATTATGCCATGTAGTTGTTTTTATCTTCTTATAAGCTGTAAATTAACAAAAATATCTTATTGAAGAGTAAAAACATTTAATGGTTTATGTTTGAAGTGTCTGTGTTGGATATTTTAATTTCTGACTTTTTAATCTTTATGAATGCATGTGCAGAAGTGGCTGAAATGATGCAACTGGGCTGGAAAGCGTTAATTGGCATGTCAGTTAAGTCTATTTAACACATTGACTTGATGAATCATACACATGTTATTTTAAAGTAAGACTGTTTTCAAAGTGACTGGTAATAAATGACCTGCATAATTTATACCTATATAAGATAACTTGTTACTTAAGTATTAATAATGGTCACTGTCATTAAGATTCTCAAACTCATCAATCAATTTAACTGGATGTCTAAATTAGGAAAACTACGTATAGAGATTTTACTTGTTCAATATTAAACTAGTAATTTTGTAATCTGTAGCAAGGTTCGAATGTTATGTACATTATTAAAAAATATAACATGATTGAAATGTATTTATTTTCCAGTTAATGTTTTTTTTTTTTACCATTGATTAACACACTCATTAACACTTTGCATTTTAGTTATTTTGACATGATCAATTCATACTAATTTCCTTCGGTGTGAATTCTAAATTGACTTTTGTTATCATCAAGTCATTTGTCACTTGTCAGATCAAGTTTATATTGCATAGTTTTTGTTTAAATTACAGAAGATATAAGTATTTTTCTTATTTATTTTCAAGATATTGCTTTGTCTTTCCCTTTTTTCATATCTAATTCAATAAAAGTTTATTTAAGCTTTATTAATTACAGAAAGATAAATTTTAAAATTGACATGTATAGACAATTTAACAGATATGTTCTCTTAGAATCTTTCATAATTAACATAGGGGAAGTTTTCCATATTTTATAAACTACTCTATTTTGTTTTAAGTGCTTATGTTGTAAATGTTTCTTCTTGGCAGGTCAAGAAAGTAATCCAAGATGATGTTAATAAAGTGGTAAGTGTTATTCATATAAAACATGGTTTATATATTTTACAGGTATATTTTTTCACAGAAATATTTAAATATATATATAGCTCTTCATCAGTTATTAACTCACATGAATGAATTAGATGCTGTAAAGGGTAGTTTTTTTCTCTATCCATCTCTCTTTGTTTTGCTGTGTTATCTATCAGCATGAAATTGCAATGTAAATGTTGTCTGAATTAGTTTTATTCAGTGGTTTCTGTAACCAAATATTTTTGTGTTAAGAAGATGTTACGGCCAAGTTCACGCACAAATACTTGAGATGAAATGACACGATATTTGTCCATCCTCTGATTCTTTTGGTGGCACAATTTATGAATAAAAAATTTCAATTGATTTTGTTTTAATGAAGCAAATTTTTAGTGTTTTTCCTAAGCATTGGGCAATCTAAAGGTTTTGTTAAAATACTCTGGTTCTCTAATTTCCATTCTGGATAATGTTCTTTATGTTAAGACCATTATCTTGACCAGTAATGACAATGTTCACTTTAGAGATATGCTACAGTTAGACATTTATGGTGGTTTTCTTGTTTATAATAAAATAATTTCTTTAATGAAGGTAGTGATAAATTTTCTTCTAAGATATCACCAGCCAAGTGGTTTATGTAGAACTTCTTGTTGTCAGCTTTTCTCTTAAAGAAGTAACATTTAAGCAGGTTCATGCTTTACAGGTTTTGTGCATTTAATTTTTTCCTAGTTACATACCTTTCTGAATTCATTGGATTATGGTAGAAAGAAACATATTACTTTTGTTTGAAGAAAGAAAGAAATTTACTTGGAAAGATTATATTTTAGGGTGTGTCAATAAAGTTTCATAATTTTGACCAGTGTTGTCTTCAGGAATAAATTAATTTTTCTTAAATGATACCACTATATCATCTTCATGAGCATTTTGGCCTTCTAAGGATCTTGAATACTTCAGAAATTCCTCGTTTAGATTTGTGCAATGTGTACTGATACACAAGGTTAGCAGTTCTACACTGGCTCTAAATCATAGATGTCTGTGTACTAATGAACAAGATTAGCAGTTCTACATTGGCTTTATCTGGATTGAATGTCGGTGTACTAATGAACCAAATTAGCAGTTCTACACTGGTTCTAAATTATAGATTGTTGTGTACTAATGAACAAAATTAGCAGTTCTACACTGGCTCTAAATCATGATGTCTGTGTACTAATGAACAAAATTAGCAGTTCTACACTGGCTCTAAATCATAGATGCCTGTGTACTAAAGCACAAGATTAGCAGTTCTACACTGGCTGCAAATAATGGATGTCTATGTACTAAAGCACAAAATTAGCAGTTCTACACTGGCTGCAAATAATGGATGTCTGTGTACTAAAGCACAAGATTAGCAGTTCTACACTGACTGTAAATAATGGATCTCTGTGTGCTAAAGCACAAGATTAGCAGTTCTATGCTGGCTCTATATCGTGGATGTATATGAACTAATTTACATATATTTAGATATTTCAGTTGTGTGCCAATACAAAAGGTTGCCTTAGTTGTTCTTTCCTGGCTTTGTATAACCGTGTGCTAGCATACAAGGTTACTCGAATAGTGATACACTGACTTCTTGGAGCCTGTATAATAGTTAACACATGTCTAGAAATTTTGGCTGTGTACTAATATATTCAAGTAATTTAGTGCTCTTATCCTGGCTTTTTGATAAATATGTGTACTTGTGGATGTACTTACCTTGATGGCCTTAGTTTAGTTTTTAGTTACTGTGTACCACTTCATTGATTGACATGGATACCATTTGTGTACTAATACTCAGGATATCAGCTTGCATGGATATCATGGCTGTAACCCTTTCATAACTTAAAAATGTAACATGTCTTTATTTAGTTCATGTAGTAAAATGGTGTCCCGAGGAGTTTTGATTGAGATTAAGATTAAGTAATCATAAAGAAAATTAATTCTTGGTTAGATACCGCTGATTGTTTATGTTGTGACCTGATCATATTTACTTTGATAGTTGCTGATATGAGGTTGTTGAAGTTTGTTTTATACGTATTATGATTTATAGCACAGCCAGTGAAAAGCTGAGTAATACAAAATCAGGTTTCATCTTGTGCTGATGTGATATTGGAATAAAGTTTCTCATTTCAAAGTGAAATAGTTACATCCATTCTTTATTTCTCCTGATAAAGTTTGATTTGTTCATGCTCTGCATATAATTTCTTAGAACTTCCCGTTATTTGAATCTTAATGGCTAATTTGTTTGATCCAGTTATTCTAAAAAACAAATATTTATCAGTTAGTTTTGTACCAATGTATAAAACTGCATATATTGAGATTTGTTTATCAGCTGTGAAATAAAATTGGGGTCTTCAGACCTTATCATGAGGTTGTGCATGTACATTTCAAATGTATAACAATACACAATTTAAGATAATTACCATTGGTTCGGTTATAGTTGTAGTATGGATTTGAATCTGTGGGAAAAATGCTAATTGGAGAAAAAATGTATAAAGAAAATGATACATATTAAGCAGAGAACTCCTAATTTGAGAAATATTAGTTCTAAACAAAAACCCATACTAAGAATTTCCAAATATAAATCATCCCAACTAAATGGTTTAGTACCTTATTTTATGAAAACCAACAACTGACTAAACACAATTATTAGAGAAAAGTGTATAAACATTTGTTTAGTATCTTTCAAATATATCTGATGTATTTTGGTTTAGTTGTATCACTGAAAAGTATTTCATAGTTCGTACGAATATCGTGCTGCATTTCAGGTAGCTATTAGTCAAAGTATGGCTATTAAACAGGTGGTATGATGAAAACTTTGTTATTAACTGTGTAATTGCAAAAATAGGTGTTTGAAAAGCCATTTATATTATTTATATTTTACTTAAATTTCATAATTTTTTTTTGTTTTCTGTCTAAAAGGTTTTCATTCAACTTTATTTGACTAGCTTGTGAAACTGATAAAAAGTTTTTGAATGGATTAACATGTATAAATGATTTATTTTGATATAAAAAAAATGCCTAACATTAAGGCTTTAAGAACAGTGTGGCTGCAAGTGAATGACAACAGGTGAAGTACCTATTAGTATACTATGACTCAAGATTTTTTCAACAGATGGGTCTAAAATGCAAAGACAACACAGAGTGCCTACAGAATCTGTTTCTTGAATGGGTTAAGTAATCACAACAGTATGTTCTTCAAGAGTAGCATGCACTCTTATGATACAACATTCCATTTGTATTGAATATTTTAGAGGCATAACTTTCATATTTAGGGAAATGAGGACTTTCACACTATTTAAGAGTATATGTAGTGCTGACCAAAAATTATTGTTTGTTCCTTTACATGACAAAATTTCAACAGTCCCCCTTTTTTTTTAATAAAAAAGACTCACTAGACCAGTGTACTTGACTATGCTGTTGAAAGTTTTTCTTCCATAGTTGGAAACTAATGCCATCATTGGCATATGTTTTTATTTCCAGCAAGTTGAGCCATTTTTCATTTTACTTGTCAAAAAGTATTGGGCAGTACTCTGTCCAACTGCTGGATTGGCCATATGAAATTATTAACCTGAGAGTTATGGATATAATATTGCTGAATGTGTGATTGTGAGGCACAGCAGATGCACAGTTTACACCTCCCATTCAGCTACACTGATTTCAAGGATCATACATAGAAACAATTAATATAGTTCCAAGATGTATGTTTCATCAATGCCATTAATGTCTGCAGAAGTGTGTAGTTAGGTCAGTGAAGGCTATTTGGAAGTTCTGTAAAAATGTGAGGCTATGTAGACCAATACGTACTTTACTGCATTCTTGTTTCAAAAGCTGTTAAGTTTGAAAATGTGTTTAACCATTTGTAAGCTGTATATTGTGAAAGCATAAGCTTTGGACTTGTTAGCAGTTGTTAAAATACAAACATTTATTATAAAGGATTACCTCAATGAACAAATGAATGAAAAAACTATTAGCTTTTAAAATATTCATCAATGTTAGTGTGAAAAACTTTCCTTGTTACAAATTTTTTTTTTTTTTTACAAAAGTCTAAATGTAATTAAGAACATTACATACAGTATGTATTTTAAATACTACTAATATTTTCTTCTCATAATCTGAGATTTTATGCAGAAATAACTATAGCTTCACAACCAAATATGCAGATGTAAGATTTGTAGTTTGATTTAGATAATGAAATTATAATTGTTTTCGTGTTATATGTTTCCTGAGCTTTATTGAAGTGTTATGCCCAATTATAATAAGTTATCAAAAAATTTAAGAGTGTAATAGTGGAGCTCTTTTACTTGTTGTGGATTATATTAAACTTTATCTTTGGTAGTAACTTTAGTTGGTAATAATTTTAAATTTTATTATTATGTAAAAGAAAATATCTTGCTATCAATACTAATAAAGCTAGTTAATTCACATGTGATTATTTGTATTAAAATTGCAATGCAAGGCCCCCTCATGGCTCAGTAGTGTAATTTTTTTTGGGGGGTATAATGTTAAGAAATTGGGGTTTGATTCCCACTGTTGGCACAGTTTGGATATCCCATTATGTTAGTTTGTGCTAAGAACGAAAAAATTATGTTTACACAAAGTTTTAAAGAAACTTATGTAGATAAATACTTGTTCTTTAATATCAGTAACATTTTGTCCAACTGCTTATGTTATTTTGATAATTGATTACAGAAAAAGAACCACTTAGACTGAAGGACTTTAAAAGACAAAATTAAGTGAGGCATGAAACATTTTACATATGTAAGCAATTGGAATAGTCCTGTTAATAATGATACAAAAAAAGTTTTTTTTCAGATGTGTGTGTGTGCAGTTTATTTTTAAAATGCACAGTGGATGAGATAATTCTAATGTGTTCACTTATTTCTTAAAGAATATTTTTTCATTATATGTAGGCAAAGATGTAAGTTTGCATTGTTTACTTAGTGCTTTCAAGTGTGATTATTGAATAACAATAGATGTCTATCAGTGAAATTACCAACAAGTTTTTTCGAGTAGAATCTGGTTTTAGCACACTTTTATAAAGCAGATTCCCCAATTAGAACAAATTGAAATCTTATCATACTCTTCATAGATCATTCTTAAGTAAGTAATTACCGTATGTTATTTCCAGTGTAGTTTATTTTACAGAATAGGAATACATTTTGCATTGAATTCATGCCATTTTGTACACGTTGTTTTATAAAAATGCAGAAGGATTTTTGTGTTTTTAAAAATACATGATTCTCTATTGGAAGTGCTACACAGTCATATAATAACAATTTTGTACAAGTATATTAAAAACAGTTACCTTTGGTTGACCCTTGTTATGTTTAAATTATCTTTTGTCTTGTTCTCGGTGATTACAGCAAAATAACTGTTTGAATTAGAGACAGCATATTATTAACCATTAATGATGCTCCTACATCCTCCCATTAATCCTGTTATTAAATAAAGTATTTGTTCTTTTCCAATTCTCATGTGTGAAACTGAAATACAGTGGTCCTTTTTAAAAGGAGGCATGTAGTTAAGTGAAACTCAAAACAAGCATTCTCAGGTATAATAGACAGTTACAAGAAGATATGGATGAAATCATATGCCAATCTGAGTTTGCCAAACAGGAGTCAATTAATCACCCCCCCCCCTATTTTCTCACTGGGTTTACATGAACCTCAGCCTCAACAACCTTAATTACTAAAAATATAGATTTCCACTAAAACAAATTTTAAAACTCCCATATAAATTAACTATGTCTTGAACATGAACCTTTATTAGAGATGGGATCAGTATGTATTTAAAACTAAGCAGGTTTATAAACACAACTAACTGAGTAAGTAAAATTTTAAGAAAAATTATAATCTTAATTAAGATT